TGGACTATGAGCTATGCTATCAAGGAAATGGCCTTCGTGCGGAGGGTTATTCCGATGCTGATTGGGCAGGAGACCTGGACGAGCGACACTCGACGTCAGGCTATGCTTTCCTACTGAATAACGGAGCAATCTCCTGGAGCAGCAAGAAACAAACGTGTGTGTCTCTTTCATCCATGGAAGCAGAATATGTAGCTTGTTCTGCAGCTGTCCAAGAAGCTGTGTGGCTCAAAAGATTCTTAGTACGATTGGGAATCCATGGTGGGAGTGAGGGACCAACTCTGATTCACTGCGATAGTCAAGCAGCAATAGCCTATGCAAAGGACCCTAAGTACCACAATCGTACTAAGCATATAGACATAAAGTATCACTTTGTAAGGGATATGATCGCTAAGAAACAAGTGACAGTTCAATACTTGTCCACTCATAAGATGTTGGCAGATCCCCTAACCAAGCCTATAGCTAGAGATCCTTTCGTCAAGCATGTAAAGGCCTTGGGCATGCGTAGAGCATGATGTATTGAACCCCTTTTTTCTTTTTGATCCTTTTTGTTCAAATACGCAGGCACAAGGCATGTTGTACTGAACCTTTTTCCTCTTACTTAGTAATTCAATGCATTTTATCCAGTTCAAAGAAATTTTTCTTATATATTTGTGTATTTATACATGCATAGGCACAAGGTATGCAATACAATTATGTCGTACAGGTCACAAGGTTGGCTCACTCACACGAGCAACCGCCTCGCTATGTTCTCATGGGATATAGAAGGTTTGACAGCAGATGATCACCATGAGATGGTAGAGAAGAATCACTGCACAAATGTCACCTCAGCTAGACTGAGATGAGACCCATAAAAGTTTGGGCCGAATCATGGATAATGTGTCATCCATGAGACCTGTAGCCAGACAAGGAACTCTTTACTAGTGAGACGTCATATATAGTTGTGATGAAAGAGCTCCTGGTTCAAATGTTGGAGTGCATTTGGAACTTAAGTCTGTATGGTGCTATTAAAACCAAAAGCGACATACTCCACTTGGTGGATTGAGCACCGTAACATGCAATTCATACTGCATGAGCTCACTCAAATCCGCAATAAGGGACGTAGATGGAAGATCCCTGATCCATTACGGTGTGAGTCCCAGAAAGGAAATAAACCTTTCATAATGCCCTTAAGACTTAGACAACATCACAAGGTTTTGGTTTAGTGGCAGCTACTCTAGCCTAAACCCCATGGTCAAGAATGATGCGATCTAACGGGTCAAGACTGAGAAAGCGACTATGCCAAATCTAAATGATGAATAGTCAGAGGAAGATTTATCCTGAAATACACATCTACATTGGTGTCTGTGACATGTCCCTTGCAGGTTGAACAGAACAACTAAGCAAGTGTGGATACCATACGTATAAAAAGGCAATCTGAGTAAACAAAATAACTCGAGAGGGATTAGATATGCCACAAGTAAAGTGTATGGATAAAACTAGGGCATTCGAGGCAACAAGCATATAATTTGCAGGTACACCAAGGGTGTTCTTGTGTGCTGGTCCTGAATAAAGGATTCCTAGTGCACAGGCGCCCGAATCGATGACGTCATGCCCACGCGGTCACGGCAACACCTAGTATGAAGCAATGAAAGATTTAGCTATCGCACGATGGGCAGCCCATCAAGTGCGAGTGGGAGATGTTAGATTTTTGGGCTTGGATCCGCCCTTGATGGGCCGGATTATTTGACCGGGTATAAAGAGAATATATCAGTCAAATATCCAAGCGATATTGTGATATGTTTGACTTGGTCAAACACCCTGAATCATATCCAATCGGTTACGATATAAATCTAATTAATTTATATTAAATTAATTAATTTATATTGTGTAGATTAAATATATATTAAGTATATATATTTAGAATTAATTGTGATTGATTCTGGATTTAAATTCAAATATCATGATATTATGAGATAAGAATATATTATATCTTATCTCAGATTTTATCTGATGGGCTCAGTGGATATTTTTATGCTACCCAAAATATCCCTGACAAAAGCTATAAATAGAGGCTTCCCCCTATCAGTTCAAATCACTCCAGTAGTAGAGCTTTCCTACTATCTCTCTCTCTCTCTCTTATTTTCTTTCTTGCAAAAGAGGTGCTCTGCTGTGCACTTAAAAGCTCAACTTTTATAGTCTAGCTTAAGCGTGAGCTAAGAAGATCCGACCGACCCGACCCGAGATCCGACCCGGTATGTTTTCGATCCATTCTGAAATTTATCTTACAATCTTTATATGTGTTATTGCAACTGAAAGCCAATATATATACATGTGTATATATAAATATATATGTTTGTGTGTATATGTATTTTCTTTTTATTTTCACGGAACAGACTCCTTTCATCACATCATGTAAAGTAATTACCTTTGTTTTACTTCAAGCCCCAATTAATGATTTCTTCCACAGGGTTACCATTAGGCTTTTCAAATGTGCTCCTTTATTTATTTGTAAAGCTTATAAATGGATCTCCTTAATAACATATGTATATAAATATATACACGGCATGATTTAGGTAGGAGGAACGATTTATACCTTATATAATTAAGTTTAAATAAAAAATAATTATAATAATTTGATCATATACTTATTTTGATTTAAAATGATACACACACACGAATCAAAGATTGCTTTGTTTTATAAATTGAGAAAAAAAAAACACAAATTTATTCTAAGTGCTTCAATCTTTATACATACAGCCAACTTCTAGCAATATGTATATAATACATAGATTTAAATAAAGACTAAGATCTGTAGAATTTACATTATGATAATATAACATTTCTTTGGACCTTCTAAAGTAACTTTGAAATATTAGGATAGCTTTAGGATAATCTTAAAATTATCTTAAGATTAATATCTAGTAGTTTTGAGTTTTAAATTAATTTTCTTGTAAATATGTGACTTGTAGACTCTCCTTAAGAGCCTCATTGCTTGGAATCAATTGTTTGACCGCTGGAGAGCTAAAGGAAACCAGGTAACTTGGGATTTTTCCATGTGTATACAATCTTTATCTATGATTAAGTTTATATTGACAGTAATATATATATCTCTATCAACTTATTTGATATAAATAAATAAGGCTGTAAAGGTGAAGGGATATAAGTGTATTATCTTCTATGTTATTTGAATTCTCCTTTAAGCATTAGTGTGTTTTGGTTATTTTGTGAAGATGTATAGTGATTTGTTTCTTTTCAAGCATACTTGCATATGCTAGATTTGTTATATATTCATGACATGCATAGTCGGTTGGACTTGGGAGTTTATGATACTGATATATGTGACAAACTGTGACCACGTGGTTTGCCTCCACTTAGCACAAAGTGGTTAGCTTTTTTAGGGCCCCGTTCCTTGCCAGGTTTGTAGAGGGGGAACATGGAACAGTAACACCTTCTGGTTCTTTTAAGGAGAAGAGTCATAGTCTAGGCTTGGGCTTTGTATCTTTGGCTAGATATATCTTAAGTACTGGAGTACCTTTGGTTAGTCCAGTGTGTGGCTCAAACCATGTATAAGCCTATGGTTCCAGTGAGCAGAATAAGGTTAGATGGAGCAATAAGGGAGGAAGCATCCATTGCATATGAACATAGTATATTATTAAATTAGTTATATATTTTGCTAATAATTATTTTAAGCTGTTGCAATATTTGTTTGTTTAGCTAATATGAAAATGTTTGGGTAATGGTTGTATGTGCATGATTAAACTCTGAGTTACTGAGACGTTAGTACTCACCCCTTTAATTTAACATTTTCAGGAAAAGGTTCAAAATGAGGGAAGACACCTTAGGAGTGAGTTTTATATTCCTCATGTGTGGTACATGTTTCCTCCATTTATATTTAATTTTGCCATGGCTCTCGGATATTTCTTTTGTGTTCATTTTCTTCTTCTTCTTCTTCTTCTTTTTTTAAAAAGGCTATACTCAATGTACATGATAACTCAGCTAATCTACTGCTTAAAATTCTATTTATACTTTAACCTTAGTTTTAAAATTAGTTTTATTTTTGCTTGTTAACGAGGATACATTTTTTTATCATGGAAGACTCCTATCACTCTAGTTTTATCTTTTCTACTAAGGTAAATGTCTTTTAAATTTGTTTTCCTTGCAATTACATAACCTTAAATCATTATGATTATTATAAAAGAACAGTGTTACAAATAGCACCCTAGACATTGGAGGCAACTGCGATATGTGACATACATTTTAGTTTTAAGGGGTATGAATCTGGATTATCCTCTTTTTCCTTCTCCTTTTTTTCTCAACCTTGAGAGTTAAAAAAATGAAAAAAGTTATTTTGAGAATAGATTTTGAAAAAGTAAATTTTGTGAAAAAAATGATTTTGATAAAATAAGAATGTTTGTATGGTTATTATCAGTATCACTTTTTTTCATATATAAATTATTAAAAAAAATATAAATTAATATGATAATCACATAAGAAGATTAGCTTTAATTTATATTGGTGTTTGAAATAATAAATTTTTAAATAATAAATGATATATGAAAAAATATAATTAATTGATATTACTTTAATTCTTAATATAAAAGCTAATTAGATATACAATTTGATGTTGAAACCTAAATTTACTTTGTTTCACACCTTTACTCATTTTTTTCAAAGTAATTTTTATTTGCACATTATTAACAAGTAATTGATATGGGAATGTAACATCTATTTATTATAAATAACTAATTTAACTAATTTTTTAATATTGAGAAATTAGTTATCTAACTCTTATATTAAGAATAAAAAATATAAGGTTAAAATATATTTTCATATTCCAAACTATAATTTTATACTTTAAAAAAAATCACTTTATTCACTTCAAAAATGATTTTGCAAAAAATTATGAAATTACGGTATTTGGTTTTTTTTCCCAATCAAATCAAGGTTTTGCATCCAAACCATAATTTTGCTTTTCAAACAACCTAAAAAAACCCAAAATCCCCCGCCCCCCAAAGTTTTCATGCTCTTGGCTATTTTCTCCTCGTCTTCCTCGCCCCCGGCCGCCCGGCGACTCCGTCATCTGAAGGCTATTTTATCCTCATCTGCGTTCACTATCGCTTCCAACCTTCACAATTGAGAGAGAAACTTGAAGCAGCAGTAGAAAAAGATGGGAGAAAGAAAAGTCTTGAATAAGTATTACCCTCCAGATTTTGACCCCTCAAAGCTTCCTAGGGTTCGAAGACCCAAAAATCAACAGATCAAGGTTCGCATGATGCTTCCTATGAGCATCAGATGCAATACTTGTGGGAATTATATCTATAAGGGCACCAAGTTCAACTCACGAAAGGAGGATGTTATCGGCGAGGTTTCATTTTCTACTTCACTTTTCAGTTTCTTTATTTTCCTCCTCACTTTTGCAATTTGTTGTTGTGATTTTCTTTTTGTCTGGGTAAATTTGGTATGCGGCTTATCTCTTAATGGGCATGCTGAATTATCTGCTCTTTCCCCCTCTATTTTGGATTTTGATTTTGAGTAACCTAAAAATGATTATTTGATTGCCATTGAATTTGCTTTTTGGTTCATATTTTGAGCCTTTAATTACAATGCTATGTACGTTTATTGTTTAATCTTTTTGCAGACGTATCTGGGAATTCAAATATTCAGGTTTTACTTTAAATGCACTAAGTGCTCAGCTGAGCTGACGATTAAGACCGATCCGCAAAATTCTGATTATGTTGTGGAATCCGGGGCAACGAGGAATTTTGAACCCTGGCGTGCAGAGGATGAGGATGAAGAAAAATTGAAACAGAAGAGGGAAGCTGAAGAGATGGGAGATGCTATGAAATCCCTAGAAAACAGAACTTTGGACTCCAAGAGGGAGATGGACATTCTAGCAGCTCTTGATGAGATGAAGTCTATGAAGGTACTTGTCACTTTTATTGTTTTATATCGAACATTTCATCTGACCCTTTCACATGAATGATTATATTTTAGGTTAGCATATGTCGTATGGTGTCATATTGACATGGCTTTTTTATAATCATTATCACTTGTGTATGCATTTGAAATCTATCCATATTGATCACTAACTGATGCCTCATTTATTTTCTAGTCGAGGCATGCTACTGTCTCTGTTGACTCAATGCTGGAGGCCTTGCAACGCACAGCTGCTGACAAGGTAAGTCTTGCAATTTATATTTGCTTTGCTTTAAATGATTTCTTTCTCAAGCAAGTAATTATAATTGATTATACAAGTAAAATATGCGACATAAAGCATAATAATATTCTTGGCATGTATTTGGCTTGTAGCTTTAACGATAGGTTTGTTTACTTCTACTAGTTTGATCCTTTAATCAATTGAGTTGATATTTTATGTTAATTATAGAATCATGGATGGTCAATTTGGTGGTTGATTGAATAGCTAATTTGACCCTCGCAGATGATTGCATAAGTCTTGGGTCTGTTGGAAATTGAATTAAATCAGATGTAGTGCCTAGATGCTATATTAATAGGCATGGTATGACTGATCAAATCACGGTTCTGTAATTAACTTATACATATTCTTCATTTCTACTGTATATCTACTACAGAAAATTTCAATTAACTGTGCTTTCTCCTTATTTCGTTGAGGAAGTTAAAAGCTTTGCACCTGCTAAAACTGCTCATTCAACAGGAGTAATTTTTTGCTTAACTGTTTCTCTATTTTATGATTATGAAAAGTTGTTCACTCATTCAATTATAATGGGTTTCATGGGGAATGGGAGCTTAAAGTGCATTCTCTGAATGAATTGATACTTTTATTCTCTGTGAGCTTTTTGCACATTTATATGTAGTCCCTTTTCTAAAGGATATCATTATGGAGAAATGAGCTATAACTCGACTTTCAATTGTTGAATATCCCCCTACTACTATCTTTTTCTTCTTTATGCCCCACCTCTATTTTGAAGAGACTTCATGCAAACCTTTCAAGTTGGATTGAAATCCTATTTCTGCAAACAAGACTTGTTAGCTGCAGAGACTTTTTGAAGAGGAAGAGGTTTGAAGTGCTAGTTTGGATTGGATTAAGGATGGAGTGTTATTGGGCACAATTTTGACCAACAAAGTGCTTTTATCTCTTGTTGGCAAATTTTAGAAGCTTCCTTAGGGTGGGTTTGGCTCAAAAGAGGGGAGGGGAGGAGAGGGATTTTAATATTATCTTGTTTGGATTGATGAGAGGAGGGATTTTTTTATGATATGATATATGGTTTAATAAGAGTGCAACAGTTACCATCCCTTCCATGCGTAATGTAAGATTAGAAGGTAATACAGGGATATTAAAAACTAATTATAGGCATATTAATCAGAGCAAGCTAAAATATTACTCTTTCCTTTCAAATCCCTCCAGCTTGGGAGGGTTAGGCTATGAGGGGAGAGGATTTTCCCTCCCTAAAAATTTTAGCAACCTAAACAAGGGAAGGGGAGCAAAATCCCTCCTACCCCCTCCCCTCCCCTCATACCAAACAAGCCCTTAGTGGCAAGTGAGGTTATGGATGATATGGTGAGAAGTTGAAGATAACAATACAATATTTTGTTTGCCTGTTTAGAGTTTACTATATTTTCGCAAAGCTATGTCCATGCTTTTGGCGTAAGTCTGGTCATGTTTTGGACCAACAAAGTCTGGTCATCTAGATGGGAGCTTGGGTCGCAAACTTGACTTCAAACCTTTTAATTGATAACCTGAAAAACATGCGAGACAACCAATGTGAGCAATTTTTTATCTTAAACATAAAGTAAGGCAATGTCTTTTATTTTTTCAGCTAAACAGATTATGTCTTATATCAAGGGTATGACTTCTTGTCATTCAATTTTTTATACTTCATGGCAAATTTCATTTAGCTATACGTTCTGTACTGTCAGGAGAAACTGCTGGAAGAAGAGGACGAAGCACTGATAAAATCAGTTTTCTCAAGTGTAAGTATTACTGTTCTGGGAATCGTTTATAAGTTAATCTTTCAATGTATATATTACTTTTTTGAAATTAACACCGGTTTTCATTCTATGATCATAAACAGAAATCAAAAGAACTTGTCAAAAGAATTCGGGATGAAGATTTAGAAACTGATGATTTTATTATTAAGCCTTCAAATGAGAATGGTGAAGCATCTGACGATCATGTGAAGGTATGAATATTTCATTTAGATATATATATATACGTATATGTTGCTTCTGTTTGCTATTTATAAATTGATATTTGCCTTGAATATGGTGTCAATTTATTAGCATAACTACTAAGTTAAGATTTTTATATTATTTTTTGTTAATTTCATATCTGGGGATCCTGCTAACTAGGTATTTTTTTAGTTATCAATAATCTCCCAGCAGATTAACATGTTGAAATTATTTAGCACCTGTATTGGCTTATGTTTCGCCATGTCTGCGTGCAGAGAAGTAGAATGGCTGAAGAGCTTCCAAGCAAAGCAACTGATGCTCTGACAAAAGCTAGTTTGGATAATTCTGACAACCCAGGTATGTGCCCTTCCGGAAGCTCAGGCAGAGCAACTAGATACATCAAATCTCACCAATGCATTATATATGTTGAATTTTTAGCTTTGTTGTCCAAACTGGGTGGATTCATCTATGCTGAAAATGTGATTAAACGGAAATAAGATCCTTTTAATTGCTTTAGGTGTAGCTGGAGCTTGATGTACCTGCCGTGGCATACTTTGCAATGATCTCTCGCCAATTGCTGCTCTTGCGAAGCTGAAGAGGATTTTAATGTTTCGTGTCTTGGATAAAAGTGGTTGAGTTAAAAAAAGAAGTACCAACTAAGATTAGCTCCAAAATATCCTGAGAATCAAAAAGAATTTCTGCTGTCATTGGCCCCTTGCCCCTTAATCATTTGCATAGGATGCTGCTCCGATTGACATAAACCCTTTTAATATATGCACGTAATGGGGATAGTTTGGGAAAAACATTAATTTTTAAAAGACAAAATGGATTAAAGTCCTATATTTAGAGCTAAAATAAACCTCTCAATTAGCTCTAATATTTAAAAAGAGAGAATATTAAGAAATGTAGTGTCTTTTTATGACTTCAAAGCTGCGATTTATTCATTTTTCTCTTTCCCTTTTTGGATGTGAAAGAGGTTTTATGTTTTCATAATTTCATTCAGAACATGATGCATCATGCTTCTCTTTTCGAGCCAGCATATAATTATCTAACTCATGATGTTTTGCAGAAAATTCGCGGGGTTCGGGGGCTTCTGGGGGAGCAAAACCTCTTCCTTGGGTGAAGATCAACGTCATCAGGAGAGCCATCCCTAATCAAAAGAAAATAGAGGAAGACGGCACCACTGGGCTTCAATCCCTCTGTCAAAATTATGACAGTGATGACGATTAGTAACAATTTGTGAATATGAAAGTTTGTCTTGTACATGTACAATAACAAAGCCTTATCCCACTATGTGGAGTTGACTACATAGATCACATGATGCTACTGAGTTCTATTTAAAGCCAAATGTTTAGATATATTGTTAATTGAAAAATCTCTCTTAATAACTTTATTATGTTTTCTCTTTGGCCTTCTTCCACTCTTTTTTAGAGGATTTTATATTGTCTAATTAACCCTTCTCACTGGCATATTTAAAGGCAAGGTTTTTTTTATATGTAACCAAATCATCTCAAACGATTTTTTACTATTTTCTCATCAATATCTTTTCTTGTAAACATGAATTGTTAAATTTTGATTGTAAGATGCTACTCAACTTATTTACATTTAAGTTTGTCTTGTAAAGATAAAAATTTTGAAACCTATTTATACTCCTCCGGTCCTTAATATAGGACCCATTTAACTAATTTGATTAGATTAAGGAAATTAGGTAAGTTAGTTAATTATAAAAATTGTGACATGTTTTTCCTAAAATACCATAATCATCTTTCTTAATACCCCTCTCTATCTTCTACTTGATTATGGTTGATGGAGTATCCATAGGGGTAATTTAGAGAAAATTGATAAATATGATAAATGGGTCTTATATTTAGGACCAAAACCAACTCAATAATTGGGTCCTATATTAAGGACCGGAGGAGTATTTAGTTATTTTATGCAAGGCCTATGGATAATTTATTCTTTAATTTTATGGCTACTGGTGCAGATGGTGCGCTTATCTTAGTTTTGGATAGAGAGGGGTTTGTTGGATAATTAATTCATAGTTTATTGTTGTCTACTGTTTGTTTGGTTTAGCCGTAGAAGCTCATATAATCTCATTTGAGGTTAAAGAAGTGTTTATAAAGCATATTCACGTGCTTGTTTGGAGCTGCTTAATATAAGCATTTATATTTATTTTTATATAAGTTGAGAGAAAACTTGATATATTTATATACTATTATATAGTGTATTTTATAAATCTTGTAATTTGGGGTAATTTTCCTAAAATATGATAAGTTTTAGCATAATTTTGTGATTACAAATGCGGTGAGTTTTGGCTTTCTGCAACGAGTACAGGTGCAATTTTAACTTTAATTTCATTTTTTAAGTGCAATTTTATACTTATTTTTTTAATAACGTAATTTTAATTTTGATCTAATTTTTCAGATACAATTGTACTTCTGATCCTTTTTTTGGGTGTAATTTTACCACTAATTTTTTTGGATGCAATTTTATATCAATATAAAATATGAAAATAAATTTTTAAAATTCTAGATTAAATTAACTCCTAAGGCTTTGTGGGAAGGGAAAAACAAAGATCCCGTTGCATTTATCCTTGCCCACAATTGGTAAATTGTATCGCCAGTAGTCTGGTTTCCAGGTTCAATCAATTTGGTTAAATTGATGAGCAATGGCTGAATAACGCTCTCAGTTATTTGAAAAAGAGAGCTATTAATTTACTGCACGGGGACAAATAAAGGAACAGAAAATTGATATTATAGGAGAGTGCAAACAATAAAAAGGAGATAATTTTTCTGGCCAAAATGAAAAATTACACAATCTATTGTTATATATAATTATGTATCTTTCTTGGACAGAGCCAAATAAGTGGGGGTAGCATAGCTTTCCTGCTGCCTAGCTCTACCTGCGGTAAGTGAAGCCCAAAGATGCCCATTATTGTTCAGGCCTTTTTTCTTCTTAGGCGGGCATTTTTTCTTTGAGTTCAGGTGGGCAAAGCGAGCATTTGGACCTGATGAACACCCTTAGTTGGCAGAGAATGCTGCTGTTTTGGAGTGCTCATGAGACCCAGTTGTCTGTTGTAAAAAAAATGCATAGCCTGACTAGAAAAAAAGCAACATGAAAAAAAATAAGCATTTTTGGATTGAGCTAATTACAAGCAAGGTCGGATATCAGGCACGACATGCCACCTTGCCTGTTTGGCCATACCCATAAAAAAATATATGATTATTTTTTTGCAAACTATATATATAATTATATAAGACTGATGTGAATGTGAAATTATAATATATAAAATATGTTATGTATTAAAATATATTAATATATTATATTATGATGATCTTTTTGGGTTGGTATGTTAATACGATTCGAACGGATGGGAATATGAAATTTGGAGAGATGAAATGGAAGACGGATGAACGTGAAATTTCATATATATATTTTTTGACCTCGACAACTTTTCAGCGCTAATATTGATTTTATTATATTACATTACAAAAAGGGTATAAATTATATTTTATTATCATTCACATAAATTCGAATTGAAGAGCTCTCGCCTCACCCTGTTAAGTTTGAGTCCAAGCAGTATTTGATATTTCTGTTATATATTATATTTATATTTTCCTTCATATTAGAATATAAATTAAGAAATCATAAAGCCACACAAGTAATAAAGTTCATTCAAAGCTCATTTAAATTGGGATTTTTTTCCGCTTATAGTAGGAGAAGAAAAACCCGTCCTATTTAACCCAAAATGATTAGGGTTTTTATGGGCAGGTAGGGTAGTGGGCTACAAAGCTTATTCTGAGTTGGCATCCAACAGAGGCTCTGCTATGCTCAATCTTGTTCATGCACACTCTTACAGTTTTACTACTGTCCATGTCGTAGAATTTAAGAAGAAAATGCGGTGATGGAGGAAGGAAATGAAAGAAATTGAGCCAGGTCAAATAGATGAAGGAAAGGTAATAATAAAGGAAATTTTTTAATGAGGTGATGGAGGAAGGAAAGGAAAGAAATTGAGCTGATTCAAAGAGATGAAGGAAAGGTAATAAAGGAATTATAAAGGAAAAAAAATTTAGGCCAAGTTTTTCATACCCATTACGTTAAACTTTCCAATCACATGTGACCTTTTTTTATGTGAATTTTTAATTAAATTCTAATATTTTAAAAATAACATACACAATTAGTGTAATTATAGAATTTGACATATTAGTTATAATAAACTTGACGTAAATTGTCCAATTATAAAAACCAAGCATTTTTTTATTTTTGGGTTAAGATACATTTAGCATCCCGAAATATTTTTTTATGTGTGTCCAGCATCTTAGAATATTTTTTGGTGCATCTAGTACCTTAAAATATTTTTTTAGGTGCATTCAGCACCTTTTTTTTTTTTGTGCATCCAATGTGCATCCAACACCAAGACAAAAAAACATACTGTAAAGTGTTGAACACACCATAAAATATTTTAGGGTACTAAGTACACCTGATAAAATATTTAAGGTTGCTGTATATGCCTTGGTCCTTTAGTTTTTTAATAGCCTGGCCTCACCACAAAAAGTAACTAACATTAACTTATTTTAATGATTGTGTTAATTTTTTTCCCTGATTTTAACTATTTATAGGTATTTTTGCACGTACAACTTTACTTTTTATTTTATTTATCCAAAGAACTTAAATTGCCCTTTTATTAGATATCTTAGGTTTTCTTATTAGATATCTTAGGTTTTCTTATTAGATATCTTATGTTTTTTGAAATTTTAAAATAGGGTAAATTGGGGATAAATTCCTATTTGGCAACTTGTTTGTAAAATGGGATTTGAATTTTCGCAAAGGTTAGAGGTCCTGAGGTGGGAATCAGTTTGAGGGGTAGAAAGACCAAATCACCCTTAATGCTTAATAGATGAGAAAGGGGAAAAATCATAAAGGAAAAAAAAAATCCCCCACAAAAGTTTTCTCCTCCCTGCGTCCTCTCCTACATCTATAATCGCTGAGAGTCCTATCAGAGCTCCGGTTCATTAGTGAAGGCTAGGAAGGTAACTTATATCAATACCTTTTATGGATTTCAATATTTGGTGGTGACTGTAGTTATATTCATTATTGACTTAGCTTTCTTTGTTGCTATGTGTGTGGGCAAAAAACTCCTTAATATATTTGTGCCCTTATTAGCTTGTACTCCTTCTTCCATTATCTCCCCATTAATTATATATCCATCGTCATTATATAAGCAAATGCACTTTATGAGATTGACATAATGCACTTTATAAAACTATGAAGGAAAATGTTATCTCCAAATATGTTGTTTGATTTGAAATTTTTTTTATTATCATAATCTAGTTCTACAACAATAGATTTTGAAGGGGCATCAAGAATTGAGTTTTGGTTTAACTTTTTGAAAGAATAAGTCTTTATCTTATCTTGGTTTGGCATTATGCCAACATATAATTTGTTGAAAACTGAATGAACTCATTGATTCTAATTATACTGAATATTTACAAGTGAAGAATATTGTAAACTTCGGTTTATTTGACATTGAAATCATGTTATTGCAGATGTATAGTAAATATGATGAATAGATCATCGAAAGAAATGTATTGCTTCTTTCACATAAGTGGGAAGATTGTCATTAATGAAGACAGGATTCAATATGTTGATGGGAGAGCAAATAAAAAAAAATGATAAGAGAAGGAATGTCAATAAATGAGCTTAGAAGAATAATATCTTTATGTCTTAATATTCAAGGTAAAGGATTTCAGTTGAAGTGCACAATGATAGAATTAGATCAAAACACTATTATAGACATAGAAGATGATGAAGGCATGCAGCAAGTAGTACAAATTAATGATAAATGTGCACACTTATATATAGTTGAAGATGTGAGTGAGTTGATAGATTAAGGATTGCCCATGATAAATTCACAACGATAGCTTCCATGAATAATTGAAAATATGTACACCAGTTTAAAAGAATTAGTTATTAGTTGACAATATTTTTTTTTATGTAGGTCTATCTTAGAAGGATTATATGGATTATGTATAGTTGGATCTTTATCAAGTAGAATATCACAACACATGCCATATTTAGTTTAAAGTGCACCTACACCTATCCTTGAGCATGGGGCTGAGAAGTGGAAAGACTTGCTTTCTGGTCCTCCTAAAAGTTTCACAAATGCTGTTGAATTCAGAGAAGCACTATACAAGTATAGTTTGACACATAAGTTTGCATATAAGTTGTCAAGAATTGTGCAAGTAAAATGATAGTGAGGCATAAGGTGGATAGGTGCCCATGAAAGATCACTACATATCAAGTAGGGCAAAAAGAGTCAAGTTTCTTGCTTGTGCATACATTTGAGAAAAAGCACAATCACTTAGCACAGGACAATCTAATCGCACGTTTGCAAATTGACCTC